ATTTTTAAATTAATATTAATTAAATTTAACAAAAAATATTATATAACATACATTTTATAGAAAATTATATTAAAATGTAAGAAAATTTCCACAGCCTGTCATCTTAAAAAAGAAATCTTACGATGACTTCAGGTCAGCTTTTGCTTTGTGTGGGATTTCATTACCATATCATTCATTATCACACCATTAATATGACTCTTCACCCCATAGAGTCCAATGCATTAGGATATGCTGACACATGTCATAAAAAAGTGATGAGCTGCGTATTTGTATTTTATAGCTTCATTTGTAGTTTCTCAAGACAATCCCTCTGATATGGATGAATTACACTGCTAATGATTCTGCACTGAGACACATACCTATTCTAGGACAAGGGTGGAGGTTTTGTCTGACTAGTTTAGCCCTCAGGCACATTTTGTAATTAAACCGACCCAAGAGAAATGAGGAAGCGTGCAATGGAATAAATAGCAGTTAATCATACCGCAGAGCTTCTGTAAGGATCGTTCAGAGTAAGACTGTCTGTCACAGCCTCTCCCAGCACCGCTCGTCTCCAGCTCCACTGTGGTCCTGATCCACGACACCGATCCCGCACATGTCTCTAGGTGCATCTTGGGAAATAACAGCTTACTGCCCATTCCTGGTTCATAGTCAATGAGCTTGCTCCAGCCTGGGAAGAAAGAAAGTTAGATAACGTTTTGACAAGTAGCTTAAATATTAGAAAGAGCGATAATGTCACTGAGCTGGAAAATGAAGATATTGAGGTCACAGTGTTTTCCAGACTTCCACACAATTAACAAGTCAGTTCCCCAACATGACGTGCATTTCAAATACACCTTGAAGAAACGCAACCTTCTTTTGTGCATGAGCCAAAACATTCACAAGTTTAAACTTAGTCATTGCCACTTACAAAGTTAGTACTGTGGCGGGACTATAATATATAGTGATGGTATCAAATGGAAATATCATGGTACACCATCAAAGATTACCATGGTTTACTATATAGTGTCCAAAACCTACACTTTTAGAAAAAATGTGCAAAAATTGGGTCACAATTTATTTTAAGGTCCAATTCTCGCCAATAACAAACCATTAACTACGACTTTTTCCTCAATGAACTCCTAACTTGCTGCTTATTGATAGTTAGTTGTTAAGTTTAGGTATTGGGATTAGGGATGTAGAATATGATCATGCAGAACATCTGCTTAACAAACTGCCAATATGTTAATAATATGTATGCTAATAAGCAACTATGAGAATTGGTCCCTATACTAAAGTGTTACCAAAAATTGTACCTTTAGAGGTAACACAGGGGCACAAATGGTCTCCTTTGTTCCTTCTTTACTCCTAAATGGTGCATATTAGTAGTAATTTGTACTCTTATGGTACTATTGTTGCACATTGTTTTTCTAACAGTGTATAAGCATGTAATTTTTGCATTATCAGCTGTAGATAAATCATTATAGACAGCTGTGTTATGTGTTAGAGTCAACATGAAGTGCAGTTCATAACCAATTTTACTTCCATAATCTGATGCATTTTAGAGTGACAGGATATTCAACAAGAAAAATGTCACAATTTAACACTGAAACAACTGCACACAGGTCAGGGTTGAAACATATTGAACAGATTAAATTTCTACCTTTGACAGCTTTGTTTTGGTAGATATTTCAGCATTGCGTTGTCATATTTGCTGAAATTGGTGCATTATTCTCAACAACTAGACTTCTGGAGAAAATGTGAGTGATGTTTGCATGTGCAGAACTCTCAGTCATGATACTAGGCTGCCGTTAACAGGTAAAAAACAAGAAGTTCTGTAAAAAAATAAATAAAAATATCCTCCCTCGAGTCTCTAGACATTGATATTCTGGTCTTTAGAAATTGCTGCTCATTTATTTAAATGAAATTGAGCTAAATCAACACAACTGCTGAACTTTTTTGAATATGTAAAATTAAAGTTTACTTAATTTGTGTTGGGACTACATGAATAGTTGTTTGATGCATGAACTGAAATTGCAAGCTTGATTATTAATTCCTAGCATGCTTTGTCTAGGACTGAATTGGTAATGTTGGAATTGAGAGTTATTTTATGAATTTATGAGTACAGGGAAGTCCCTGTTTAATAGGCCAGGAAGGACTAGAGTTTTTGTTGTTGAAGTTTTTATGGTTACAGTTGGGTTCGGTTGTAGGATGGTTATAAAATGATTTTGGTGATTGTTACTTCATTTAGTCAACATAGCTGTGCTAATATCAGTGCAGTGACAAACTAAAAATGTATGCCTAAAATAAAATAAAAAAAACATAAACACTTGCCTTAACAATTGAGTAAAACAAAAAGTATGTACTTATTCACTTTAATTTTACTAGTTAAACTGGTTTGACGTAATTACATGTGTGATATTTACTTAAATTTGTAATTTTAATTAAAAATATACTTGATACACCCGGAGTATATATTAAATATAATATTATATATTCAGTACAGTCAGTCTGTGGTATTTTTTGGAGCACAAATATGACAAGTAGCAAAAAATAATTTATGTAACTAACTGAATAAGCCCATTTGTTTGTTTTTTAATGAAGAAGAATCATTTTATTTTTGTTTTTTCAGTTATAATTTATAATATATTTGAGGTTTGTTACCCAGAGCTCTTAGTGCGTCTGGCGAGATATTACATTCTTCAGGCTACATTGTGGCTGTAATTAATTCTATAGCCAGTGGTTATTTAACAGGAATTTATGGGTGAAAAATGGCGGACAGTATTAAATGGATTGTGTAAACATGCATTCACATACAGACCACACAAATATTAGCTCACACACAAACACACTTTGAGCTGCTGGGTTTGGGAATTTGGAGCTGAAAATGATTATTTTATGGATGGAGGGAGCCTAAAGGTAACAACAAAATGTGTGTGTGTGTGTGTGTGTGGACGGTGCATGTCCACCCCTGCTGAATTATTCACCCTTGCTTATGAGACACAACGGGGAGCTGTTTACTTTCCTCTCTCCTTCATGCTTTTATGTCAGTTGTGAAAAAATGGCCTTTACTCAAGTTGTCATCATCCAGTGGGCTGGAAAAAAATTGGCCTGAAGCTTCTACCAAGTGTGTGTGTGTGTGTGTGTGTGTGAGTAAAGAGGAACATGTTTTGAGTCTCCAAACTCACCTGAGGGACAATCACATCAGAGACACATCAAAGTGCATTCTGGGAGACACAAACTACTCTAGACCAAAAGTTTACTTGATTTTATCCATTGGGAATTGACTGGATGGTGAAAAGGCAGTTGAAGGGGAGGAAAAATATGAGTTTGATGACTTTAGCGGACAAGTCATTTTTACCCTTTAAGGGATTTTAATTAAAAATGCAAACTTTTTTGCTTTTGGAATAACATGCACAACTGATTTGTGCACAATAAGACCAGAGACATGTATTAAAGGGACAGTTCATGCAAAAATGACAGTTCTGTCACCATTTAAAGCAGTATTTTAAAGAATATTAATTTTCAAATTTTCATATAATTTAAAAAAAAATTTTGACAGGAGAAAGAAAATCATAGAGGTTTGGACTGGAATGACATGAGAGTGAATAAATGATGACAAAATATTCATTTTTGGGTGCACTATCACTTTAAGAATATAAATAGGTTTGATTGATAATTTTGATTGAATGTTGACTTGTAAAAGCTTCTATTTTACAAATTCATATTCACAGTTTTTATCCAATTTAAGGTTGTTTTTACACTTCAGTTGTTTGATGTTTAATTCTGGGTTACAACTGAGAACTAGCAACGCCTGTTCACCACTGTAGCTGGGAAACAACTCATGAGGAGATGTTAAAAATGGAAAGAGCTTTTTAACATAATTTTATGCTTTTGTTGCTCTTTACTTCTCAACATACGCAGAATGAAATGTGCCTGTCTGCTCTCATATCAGTGGAGAGACTGCAAGAGATGGAAGCCGCTTAGCAAAGGCAATTTCTGCAGAGACAAGCAGCAATGAGAAATGCATTATACTGTATTAGGCAAATTATATGATATTGATGCAGCTGACTTCTGCAAACTAGGCCAGATTGCTTTTATACCAAAGCTTATTGGAGTTTGCGTGAAGACTGAATGTATCTAAATGAATCAAATGCTAAAATCAAACTGAGTTTCTGGCATCTAAAGTTTTAAAATGCAAACACACCAAGTTTTGCATGAATAATTGCAGCTGTGGTCGATAAAAAATGTCCTCAAAGGTCAGTTTTTAAGGAAATGCACTTGAAATGAAACAAAAGTGCATTGCAAATAGTGCAATATTAACTGCACCAGGCAGGTTTTCTGAAATGACGTATATAAAGAGTTATTTTTGTCTGATTTAACCCATTAAAGGGGTCATATGATGCGATTTCATTTTTTCCTTTCTCTTTGGAGTGTTACAAGCTCTTGGTGCATAAAGAAGATCTGTAAAGTTGCAAAGACTAAGTTCTTTTAAGCAACATCATATGACCCCTTTAAAATAGTTTATTTTTTGTATAAATGAATGTATTTAGGCTAATTCAGTGATGCTAAATAATAGTTCTTTTTATTTGAATAAAACCAGTTGTTACCTTTTTTTCCAGTTTAATTCACCTAAAAAGTGAAAAGAATAGCAATTACTTTATTTAAATGCAGTTTACGAAGATGAGGACATTTGTGCTAAAATAAAGTTTGATTGGATGCATATCAACATCAACAAAATAATAAATGGGGAAGAATTTTCTTTTCCCATTTACATGTTGCATGTTATTTTATTTTGTTTTTCCTTTCTGGCTGCAATCATAACAGACCTTTTTTTTGCAACCAGTTGAGCAACTCTGCTTTAGATGCGTCACGTCTTTAGCTAGTAAAACTGATACCAAGAGCCTTCAAAGAACCGCATAATGCATCATGCTGGCTATCATATGAAAGTGTGTGTGTGTGTGTGTTAATTCTGATGCAAGCCTCCCGCGGCAATCAAAAGCAAGAAAAAAGCACAAACCTACAGGAAAAAAGAAACAGAGATGCAGAGAGACGGGAGGGGGGTCAATACTATATTGAGTTTAAAAGCAAACAAAAATAGCTTCAAGGGAAAAGAAAGAGATGGACAGAAAGTGACAGGAAATTCAAAGCACAGAACCGGCCCGTGTGTGTGTGTGTGTGTAACTTACGTTTTAGACGGAGAAGCTGTCATGCACAGATCATAGGAAATGTCTGGAATTACTGTACCAGAACTGTATTTGGTTGTTTACTCCTTTTTGTGCATTTTAGTATTGGAACATGCATCTAATTCCCACACTGACCTAGGTTTTATTATATTGATATCAATGATTAACAGATTTGAATCTGAATGGTCTGTCAGATTCAAACTGAACTTCACCAACTTCCGTTTAAGTTTATTATTAAACATGCAAATTTAGGAGCAGATTTATCTGAAATAGTTTAAATAATAATAGAATGAATAGAGTGTTGGTATTGTCAAGTAAAAGTAAAACTATTAAAAATTACATTAGCATTTATACATTTAGCAGACAATTTTATCCAAAGCACCTTTTTGACACTTTTATGTCAAAGAGGTAACAATATTCATACTATACAATGCCAGGCCAGGTTTATTATAAATAAATTAAAGATGAAATCAAATAAAATATAATTATTATATGGAAATTTAACATACATGAAAATGACAAATGTTGCCTTGGTAGCTAACTGAAATAAATTTAATCTGAAATACTAAATTACTGGAATTAAAATTAAATATAAATTAAGTGACAAAAGCTACATTACTAAAATTGCTAAAATTAAAATTAAAACTGAAAATAAAAAAAATAAACAATAATTAATAATTTATGAATAAAATAAGTAAACAATAAAATGATAAATAAAAAAATAAAAATAAATAAATAATACAAATAATTAACTAATAAATATATTAATAAATACTATAATAGTATAAAAATAAACTAAACTAATTATTTAAAACTCATATTAAAATAACTTCACAACAGTCCAGCTGTACAGTCTCATAAAAAAGGTACAAAACTGTACAATTTTACAAAAAGGTACAATTATGTTTTTAAAAGTACTAAAATGTACCTTTAAGGTACTAAAATGTACCATTTATGAGTAAATAAGGCACCTTTAGCTTTTGGCCCACTAACAGCGTTGTACCTTTTTTCACGAGAGTGCACAGAAAACACTGAAGAATTTAGTGCATTAGATTCCTCGAAAGTGCACAAATTGGTAACTTGTAAATATGACTTTGCTCTCTGGTGAACCACTGAAGCCTGATCATTTTCACACGCAAAATGCGTCCGAGACTAAAACATTTCCAGATCTCACCCTGCCATCCAGGCTTGCAGATGGGCTTGACGTGGATGTGTACGGCAGCGTCCTGCGCCGCTCTCTTCTGACCACAGTCGAACGCCGTTACACGGATTTTATAATGTGACTTCTTATCAAAGCTCAGGCTCTCTGTGTTCCTGATGTGACCTGCACACAAACACACATTTAAATACAGACAGAATAGTGCTGTTAGCATGTCTTCCTTGTATGTTTGTGCACTAACCGTTGCGGTCTATAGCGAAGGCTGTGTCCTGAGAGGTGATCTGGTAGTTGCAGATCTGGCTGTATTGTGGAGAGCAGTCCTGGTCTGACGCCTGCACCTGCAGAATACTGTCATACACTTTCCCCTCCGTCACCGAGCCGTGATACTCCAACTGACCGAACACGGGGGAAAACTCGTTCACATCTCCCACCTGCACATGCACCACAGCCCTGAGAAAGAAAGAGAGGTTTTTTATTGCTTTTTCATTGTCCAGGAGACTTCATGGAGAAAAGTTACTCGCCCTCAGGTCATCTAAGATGAAGATGAGTTTGTTTTTTCATTGGAACAGATTTGGAGAAATGTAGCATTACATCATTTGATGACCAAAGCAGTGAATGGGTGCCGTCAGAATGAGAGTCCAAACAGCTGATAAAAACATCACAGTAATCCTCACCACTCCAGTCCATCAATAACCCTCTTATGAACAGAGAAGCTGCATGCTTATAAGAAACAAATCCATCATTAACATGTGTTTAACGTCAAATCATTGTTTCATGCTAAAATGTGAGTCTTCTATGCATAATATTGCTTCCTCCAGTGAAAAACTCATCTACATCTTGAATGGCCTGAGGGTGAATAAATGTTCAGCAAATTTTCATTTCTGGGGTGAACTATTACTTTAAGTATCAACTTTGTTTGAGGTGTTTCTGTTAAATTCTGCTGATTGCAGGATATAATACTTTTAGCAAATCTGAGCACAGTTTGAGACATTGTATTAAATTTCAAACTTGATAAAAGGAACAAAAGTCCCAAATGAGATCGTATTCATTTCATTTTTATTTTAGCATTATTTATATACCATTATACTATACATTAATATTTTGAATATTTTTATTTTTATACTTTCAGCTTTCATTTTCATAAAAACTGTATGTGCTTGTCATTTTATTCGTTTTTTGTAACATTAATCTTTTATTTATTTCCATGTTAGTCTTAGTTTTGAACATTTTAGTGCTTCAGCTTATTTGATTTCTGTTAGCCGCCAAAGCAACACTTCCAACTTTAGTTTAAGTTTTTCAAGTTTAAGTATTTCATCTAATATTTATATTTTATTTCAGATTTATTTTAATTAACAGACAATAATGTCTATTGTTTCTCTTGGACAGTGATGGAATTAAATGGAGAACAATGGAGATTTTTTCCCCAAGAAAAATACTTCAGGACATGTGTCTCCTCTCTAAATTCTTTAAATTTCTTTCTCTACATATTTTTATAAACCTATTAAAAGAGCAACTATATGTCAGGTTGTGTATATCAGGAAAGGAGCACAGTTGCCTGCATTTTAATATAGTGATTTTATTGAAACACGGTGTAATAGCGCACCACAGATTTGACTGCTGAGTTAAATGTGTGTTTTTAGGGGGCCTGCCAGCAACTAAAGACCATTTCAATTGCATCTAGAATGATCATTTTCAGGTCAACTGTCAAAAACGAATAAAAGTAAGAAGTAATAAATCTAAATAATCAAAACAGTCTGCTGCTTTAGAAACAATACTAAACTAACTTTAAAAAGAACTGACCAGAGGAGATGATTTTTATTCATGTCATTTTGACTACATGCTATTTAAATCAGACTTTGCATTTGCCAATGCAGTCGCCTGTGCTGCGTGTTTTTTGTGTCTATAATTATAATAATCTGTGAGAATTTATTTGTGGTCCAGATCTGAACTAATTAGTGTTCTCTGCTTTAGAGGAGTCTTTTTCCCAGAATAAAATGCTTCAAAAGTTTCCGTTCGTTCTCCATCACTGTCCAGGAGAAGCAGCGAACATACTAAAGAGATCTGGTTTGTGATTTCTCTCTCCTGCAGGTCATTATAAAGTCTTCAGGGAGAGAAATATATATATAAAAAAGGTCTGAAAGAAAAAAAAGTGCCTCCAGGTATCCTCACGGCCAGTCTTGACACACTTTTGTGAGCTGAAAATATACCAAAATAACAAGATTGCATCATTAATGTCAAAGACAGCATGAAAAGTGAGTAATACTTTGCAAAGGGCAACAGCTCGTCTGACAAATGAGAGGATTTCAAACACCCCTGCTAATCTGTGTTATAATGTTAAAAACCTGAACATATGCAAACACATTTATATATGCATTAGGCATGAAATCTCTAGTAAAGCAGTGTGATTTTGCAGCTTTACTGCCCTTTAGAGTCTCACTTTAATCCTTTATCTATGCATGTGTATGTGTGTGTGTGTGTGTGTGTGTAGTATCATAGATCCGAGCTGTCAAAGCCGGATACAGTAATCCTGTATGGATTAAAGAGATACAGAGTAATGAGGAAGGTCCCACTTTCTCTTTTCTCTTTTTTTCCACGGTTTCCTCACTAACCTCATCTCTATCTCACTCATTCACAAATGTCTTTAAGTCATTTTGTTTCAAAGGACTTCAGTCTAGCTCACTGCATTAGCTCTGTTAAAGTGTCTTTATGTGGAGATCTGCAGGTAAAGAGAAGCATCTTTGGCTCTGGGTTTGTTTGCAGCTTTCAGTCTGCAGGTAAACAGGTGCAGCGTTCATTAGCAAGAGCTCTTAAAAGCTTTTAATGCCTGAAGGTCAGATACCTGCTTCTCATAGTCAGTACTGAGATTAAAAAAACATGAAATACTGTATATACAGTAATGTAAGAAGAAGTTTCTTATGCTCACCATACAGGAAAATTGTGAAATATTTTTACAATTTAAAATAACCGTTTTCTATTTTAATATATTTTAAACTGTAATTTATCCCTGTGATCAAAGCTGAATTTTCAGCATCATTACGCCACTCTTCGGTGTCACATGATTCTTCAGAAATCACTCGGATATGCTGATTTGCTCATTTATTATCAGTTATTATTGGTACTCATTTATTAATAATGGTTGTCTTATTATCAATTTTGAAATCAGTTTTTGCTTAATATTTTCGAAAATCATTATTTATTTGACTCTTTTTTTTGAATATTACAAATGCTTTACTGTCACTTTTGAGCAATTCAATGCATCCTTGCTAAATAAAACTATTAATTCACTTTTTTTTTTTTTTATACTTATCCTAAATTTTTTAATAGTATTGTATCATGGTTTCCACAAAAATATTAAGCAGCACAACTGTTTTCAACATTGATAATAATCAGAAATGTTTCTTGAATCGGCATATTAGAATGATTTCTGAAGGATCATGTGACACTGAAGACTGGAGTAATGATGCTGAAAATTCAGCTCTGTATCACAGAAATAAATTACATTTTAAAATAAATTCAAATAACATTAAACATTATTATGAATTTATAATAATGTTTCACAATATTACTATTTTTACTGTATTTTTTAGTCAAATAAATGCAGCCGGTGAGCATAAGAGACTTACTCAAAAGACATAAATTACAGACGCCAAACTTTTTTATTTAAAAAGTTTCAACTAGCAGGTGCGTGACTTTAAGGACACAAGAAACAGGGAACCTCTAAAAGTAGGAAAATAAAAATCTTCAAAGAAGAAACTGTGAATAACTCAGAGAGGTGAGTCAAGCACGGATGAATCATTTTAAAAATAGTTCACCGTGTTCCTTCCAGTTCAAAACGTCACAAACATGAATCCGACTGAGGTGGAGAACATGCATTTATTCAAACACACACTGACTTGTGTGATCTCCTCTCTGCGTGTCCCTCCGGTCCCGTGCCACAGTCGTGAGCTTGAATGATGAAGGTGAACTCTCTCTGTCGCTCGCAGTCGATCGGTCCACGCGCCCGCAGACGGCCCTCTCCTGACGTGCGGTTCAGAACCACAGCCTCGAACGGAGCGCTGAGCCCCTGCACGTGAAAGCCACAGATTTCACCTACAGTACAGAGAGAGAAGACCACAGATTAAGGCCCAATCCCAATTCTATTTTATACCCCTTCCCCTCCACCTAACTCACGATTGAATGTAACATAAAACATGATTACTATTCGTTAAAATCGTTATTAATGCCAAAAATGCTTACATTTATGTGTCTTTTTGTTCGCTCGGGCAGCCATGTTGCCCCTGAAGCCGGTTTACGCTGAGATAATTCATACCCCTTCGTTTGAAGTGTGGTCTCGAAAAATCTTCGTTTGAAGGGCTGTCTGGCCCTTGCACTACCCCTACCCCTACCCCTCCAACCAAAAGAGAATCGAGACACCCCTAGGGGAAAGGGGAAGGGCTAAGGGGTAGAATTGGGATTGGGCCTAAGACTTTGTTCATTGTAATCCCACAAAGACTTCTCAGTGAGGGGCAAATTGTTTACTTTTTTAGCTTTTTATTGTTTTTTTCTCCCTTAAAATATCAATATAAGTGGACATACGCTGCTGGCCAAAAGTTTGTTATAATATATTTTTGAACAAAGTCTCTTATGCTCACCAAAGCTGCATTTATTTGATAAAAAAAACAGTAAAAACAGTAATATTGTGAAATATTATTACAATTTAAAGTAACTGTTTTTACTGTAATTATATGTTAAAATGTAATTTATTTCTGTGATGCGCAGCTGAATTGTCAGCATCATTACAAGGATGCATTACATTTAATATTACAAGACGTTTTATAATATCACAAAATATTTCTGTTTCAAATAAATGTAGCTATTTTTAACATTCAACAAAAAATCCTGAAAAAATGCATAATGGTTTCTAAAAAATTCATAAGCAGCAAAAACTGTTTTCAACATTGATAATAATAAGAACATAAGATTCTTAATACTTGAGACCTAATAATAATTAAGCAGCAAATCAGCATATTATACTGATTTCTGAAGGATCGTGTGACACTGAAGACTGGAGTAATGATGCTGAAAATACAGCTTTGACTCAAAGGAATAAATGACATTTTACAGTACAAAACAGTTATTTAAATTGTAATAATATTTCACAATATTGCTGTTTTTACCATATTTCTCATCAAACAAATGCAGTCTTGGGTAGCATACAAGACTTCTTTCAAAAACATAAAGAAAATTGTAATTATTCCAAACTTTTGGCTTGCAGTTTGTCATTTGACCCTCTAACTCTAACACTCTCTATTCTAATTCTATTGTATATTTGTTTTCTTTTTATTATTTAGAAAAAAACACTTGACCCTAACACTTGCACTCTATTTAATTTCTATTCTAACTTGTTTTCATAAAAAGAAAAAAAGAGCCTCTAACACTATAGCATTCTCTATTCTTTTTCTATTCTTTTGACTTGTTATATACAGTAAGTATATATATATATATA